ATATCTCCTCAATATATGTTCCACTCTATATGCATCCGAAGAAGTGGGCTGTAGCCCACAAAAGCTTATGCTCTAATAAATTTGCTAGTCTCCAAGGTGCCACAAGTACTCCTGTTCATATTGAGTTTGTGATCCACTATAACCCCCAGATCCCTTTCTGCAGTACTCCTTCCTAGGCAGTTATTTCCCATTTTGTATTTGTGCAATTGATTTCTTCTCGCAAGTGGAGTACTTTGCATTTGTCCTTATTCAATTTCATCCTATTTATTTCAGACCATTTCTCCAGTTTGTCAAGATCATTTTAAATTCTAATCCTGTCCTCCAAAATGCCTGCAAAAAATCCCCCTTTGGTATCATCCAAAAATGTTGCCAGTGTACTGTCTATGCCATTATCCAAATCATTTATGAAGACACTGAATAGAACTGGATCCAGGACAGATCCCTGTTTGACCTGCTAATAGTGAAAGAGGCACAATAAACCGTTCTACGTCTCCTCTTAAGAAGCCAAGCTGAACCAGATGCATCTTAGGAATTAGAAGGATATTTGCTGTAGAAAGCTGAGAATAACAGGAGAGCGTGACGAGTGGACAGGTTTGCGTGGCACAGTAGTTTGGCCAGTGTTTTCAGCACTTATCTAGTTATTAGCTGAGATGCAGGAAACAAGTCACGGCAATAATACGTTTTACGAGTTGCTGAATAGTTCAATCCTCAGTGAGATGGGAAGAAAGCTGCAGAAAGAAACAGGAAGGCGGAAGAAATTCAGGCCAATATTTGCAAATAGGGCGAGTGGTTTTGGGTGCCCAACTTGAGATGCCCTACCTCTAAAAATCAAGCCCCATTGGGGTATCTGAAGTTGAGGCCTTCAAATTAAGGCATCTAAAAATCACAGTCTAAAGAAATGAAATGACCGGATCTGGGGCAGGGAGGAGAATAAAACAGCAGCTAGATACTGGGCTGAATTAAGCCCCAGAGCTGAACCCCTCCCTTGACTGGAACCAGATCACATTTTGCAATTAGATCCCACTTCCAGCTGAAAGGAGAACATGAATGCACAGAGAGACGGATGGCAACAGGGAGCAGCAGGAGGCCCTGAAGTAGGAACTAGAGCCTGGCTATGGATGTGTGGGGCGCAGGCTGGGTTTGCAGCTCTGCCCAAGGAGATGCCTGAACACAGCTGTTGGGAACAGCACTTACCTGCTGCTGGGACGGGAGGCCGGGTGGCGCCAGCTCCATCACCTTCCCCGACAGCTCTGCTTGGATGCCTTCCATCCCTTCATAGTGCTGACCTCTGTGCAGGGCCACTGTTATCAGCCGCCTGAAACCTGCGCTGGCAGCCAGCTGCTTCCGACCCGCCTCCGTCCCAAAGAGCCACTCGGTCTCTCTGCCCTGCGGTACTGGAGAAAGGGGTCGCAGTCAGGAGAGCAGAGACCACGGTGGCAGAAACGGATGGTGCTAGAAGTACAGTGCTACCAATGTATCTTAGCCTTTAGCCAGGAGCGGCCAAAGCAACTGCCATCATCTCTAGTACAGATAAGCGCCAGAACACAGTACGTCTGTCCTGCTTGGATCGAGCTGGAACCGGTCAACAGCGTGCTCCTGTTATACTGAAGACAACAACAACTGCAACCTTCTCCAGATCTGACAAATTAGATGCAGCCCTATGGCAGCTTCGCCAATACACCCCTTGATTGAATCCATTTTGGATGCCCCTTCCTCCAATGCATTCGTAACACCAAGGCTTGAATGCATTGCAGGACTGTGTATCTAGAGTCTGTGCTAATGAAACAAGAAGACTTAGCACTCCTCTGGATTGCGTCCATTTGTAGATTCCAAAGCACTTGGAAAGTGGAGCAAGTATCTGCCCCATATTTATGAACGGGACAGCTGAGATGCAGAGTGGTTAATTGGTCACACAATGAGTCAGAGATGGGAACAAACTCCAGGAATCCCAACTCTCAGCCTTGTGCGCTGGACTACGTTGCCTCCTTGGATGAAAATCAAACAGGCCATCTATTATTGTTATTGTCTAGCAGACAAATCTGCCTTAATAATGTGAAAAATTAATTCCACTACTGGTAACAGGTTGGAAGAAGGCAACTGAAGGAATACTACAAATGCACTAACCAGTGTGACCTGCTTTGTGTGTGGCTAAGAAGAGGAGAGGTTTCTACATTCTGTTAAGGAGGCTTGGATTTCACATACTGAAATCTCAGCCAAATGGGTTTTTTTTTTTAAATAGTGGAGTGCTCTCAAATTAAAGGAAGGAGTTACTTCAGAGCTCCTGCTGATCTTAAGGAAGCTGGCAGTTTGTACACACTATAAATACGATAGCCTTTCCTTGTTGGATGTATGTAACTGCAATGAGTGCATTTATGATATTAAAACAGAGCGAATTTGTCTATTTAACTTTTACCTGGTAGTAACAACAGGACTGAGCATCACAGAGAAAGTCAGTAACAAACACATATGACATTATCAGCATCTGCTACGCCTCTACCCTGATAGAACATGAATTTGGATATAATGCGGTAAAGCAGTGCTTTGGGGGGG